TGTATATATATAAACTATCTCCCTCTGTTTTGCACGCGCACTATTCAAAGATTTATGTGCACAAATATTTTTAATAATTATTTATTTTCGTTTTTTTTTGTGTATTTCGTTTCGTTGTTTGCTTTAGACCCACTTTATTTTTTAAGTAGAGCGACGCAGATTTTTTGTGAATGGTTCACACGCTGCCAAGACGCTTCGTAGACTGAACTGAGCTTTCGAGTTAATATTTTTCACGCTTGCCGCAAATCATTCAAACAGCACCGAAATGAAAGAAGAAGAAAAATAATCGTTGGGTGTTTTTTTCTTCTTTCTGTCTTCTCTATTGTTACTGTATTCTTCGTTGTTGCCTTTTTGTCGTTTGTATAGAAAATACTGATAACACGGAGAGTTCGTTTAATTGTTCGTTTTTATTTGTCGTTCGAAATTCGTTGGAAAATTATTAAAAATATTTATTATATATGAGGAGTTGCCGTCACACGTAAAAAAATCATTGCACGTTTGGCTAAAATTCAATAAAAGAAAGGATTTTGCGACGTTTTTGTTCAGTTCCTGCGATGTTTTTTTGCGCGCGACGCTCGCTTCTCGTTCGTTTCGTTAACTAAAGTAAAATGAGCAAATTTCTAGCGAGGGCGCCGTGGCTCGACTAGAGCTTTCAACGCTGCCGGCGGCGACGCCAGCGTCGATTGTCATTTTAAAATGTGTGTGATCGCTTCGCTGTGGGTGCAAGCGGGATGGCTAGACTGCGAATAGCACAAAGTTGGCGTTGACGTGAGCTCAGCACTGAGAATTCTAGGAAATCATATTGTAAATATTCCCGGCAACTGTGTAAAATCAACAACAACAACAGCAACGAGAATAACCACTAGAAGAACGCTTCGCTTATATTTATCTATTATCTAATTTATGCAGTGTATTTGTGCATAATTCTGTCTGCTCGCCTCACGTTTCCTATACCAAATACCAAACGGTTTTCTAATTAACGCGTTCGGCTCAAAGCATTTATTAAGTTTTTATGAAGCCTGCTTTCAGATTGTATCTGTATCTCTTTCCAACTCACTTAGTAGCATCTAAATGTGCTGTTGACTTACTTGATTAGTGCTGCTCTTTTGTATTAACACCAGTTGAGCGATGAGCAGAGAGAGGGACAGAGAGGAGAGTGCGCTGTTGCTTGCATGTGTGTGTGTGTGTCAGCGTGCTGTGATTTGTGGTTTGTTTTATTTTGTGTGTTTATATTAATAATTTCTTTGTGAATCTTTGTTAGTGTTAATCAGTTAGCTGATTATGAACACACACACACACCTATGAGTGCGTATTTACAGGTATTTGTATGCTAATTTATATACAATTGCTAAACAATTGATTTTTTGTTCGAATTTGCATAATCAGCTTAGCTGTACATCTTAACTAGATTTTAATATCTTTTTATAAATATTCCAAAATTTTAAAGTTAAAAGTTCCTATATGACTAATAAAATATGGGCCATAAATCATTTACTGCTCATAAATAAAGTCCATTAGCTGTTAACAATTTGATATCAAATTTGTCAACGTTATTATTAAATTAAGTCTAATAAATTGTTTCAGGTTTCTTTCTGTTTCTTGCAATTGTTAATCTCAAGTTTTAACCAACCTTTGTTAACTTATTCACACTACGCGCAATCGCACAATGTGTCATAAAACTCTTATTATCTACATACTCCTCCGCAACACGTAATATCACGCAACTATACATACATATATATTTATATATTTGCTTAAGAAAACATTCATTTGTTAATATTTTATTTAAAATGTGTTTAGTTCATATTTTTTATTTCCTTTCAATTTTATTATTAGTTGCAATCATCGTATTTTCTGCGAAACTAAATATTTTTAATCTTTGGCTCATTCTAACATGAAAACATTTTCTTTAGAATTTCACATGTCAAGCGTTAGGCGACAGCAATAGGCCAACAATATTGTTTCGCAGAAAGCACTTAGTAAGGGAGCTTGCGCACACAAATTGCTCTGTGTCTTTTACTGCGGTTAATAAATCAAAGCTCTGCCAATGAAAAGCTTAAGCTGCGCTTTATCTTATGTAAAAACACGACAAACAAATGCTAAGCGGGCACACTCCCGCTCTGTTTCTCTCTCTCTCTCTCTTTCTCTTTCTTTGTCTCCCCACCCTCTCAATGTAGGGCTATAGCACGAGCCATTGGCGCGCGTGACGATCCGAAGACGTTGACGTCGGCAGCGACATCTACCGGTAAATGAGTCATTGGCAGAAGCTGAGCAGACAGCGCAAATAAAATGATACTTGGTGGGGGGACAAATAAAAATACACTTGCTCTCAAATGAACGGTAAATTGAAGGCACGTTGAGCTTTGTACGCATGAATGATGATTACACGAGCAACTATTTAAAAGCTCAAGTATTTGTCACCCACTTTGATAACCAAACACATTTGATGGACGCATTAATTAACAACAAAAAACTTGACCAAGGCAGCGTCAAAATATGCCCTGTAAGCGACTATTTTGAAGGCAAGTGATTCAATGCAAAAAGTCAATGAATTGATAAACAGAATATTAAGTAGCAGCTAGAAGAGACACGACTTGTAAATACCCTGTAAATTGGCTTAGCTAGCTAAATATAATGCGAAAATATCTATATCTGTATCTATATCTGAGGTTTGTAATTATTATTTGGGAGACTAAACACAAGTACTCTTCTACATTTTTAATAGGTATAACTAAACATTGTCAACGTGTTTTGACGGCTCTGTTTATCACGCGACGGAAATTGTGAATAGATAAAATTATAAACTCCAAACGGAACTATAACATGTAAATGCCGCTAAAGCAATCTTATCTAAACGAAAACAAAAATCTATTTCTATGGTGGGAAATTTGTATGTTTAAACAAAAGCTTTGGCAAGCGGCACGTTTTCTAGAAGAAATATTAACAACAACAACAAGAACAAGAATAACAATAGGTAAATGTTTACATACTGGCTATGGGCAATTAATTTTATGGCTTTTGTCCAATCAATAGCGCAACAAATAGCAAATCGAATATGCCAAATATAGCAAACAAGGTATTCGCAGTAATTGATTTCTGTACAGCAGCCGCTGCGACGCCAATCAGAATTGCAATAATCTAATCAGAACGCGCTTCGTATCGAACTGTTTGAACCCTTTGCCAGTGGAAAAAAAACGTGAAACGTGTTGTGGCCAAGGGAATTATTGTTATCAGTTCAGTTAGGGACTAGGAATTTTTATAGCCATGTAGGCCTCACATTCCTTCAGCTCAAGTAATTGTTTAAAAATAGACGCGACTGCATAGCAAATGTGCCCTACGTCAGTGCTTCATATATAGAGATATATCGTACGTAATTATATCAATTATTAAACAATTGACACCATTGCGTATGCGTAATGTTGTTTCAGGCAATTTAATGGTTTTGACAGTATAACAGCTTTTAGTTCGGGCTACCAGTTTAGACTGTCAAAACATCCAAATTATCTTTGTATAACAGTTCAGCGTATAACAGTTTAATCTCATTATTTTTAACCAATTGACAACTTCGCGTATGATTAATGTACTCTACATTTGAATGGGTTTGGCTTACCTGCTGCGATGTGGATGTGGATTGATGTGAGGTTTCCTTAAGACTACTGCAAGAGCTTGAGCTCGTATTGATCTGTCGTCCGCCCAGATTGGCAACTGTGGTGCTGCCAGCACTGAGCGGCCCCCCTCCATTCACTGTTGCCACTCCATTCAGCGTGGGCGTATTGCACAACATGTTGCTGGCCGAGGCCGAGGCCGAGGCTGAGGCTGAGGAGCTGGGCAGGGGCGTCGTTGTGGCCGAGCCGCTCTTCTTGTTGAAACTTTCAATGAGCGTTGTCGCCGGACTCAACATGCCGCTCTGTGAACTATCCGAGAAGTCTGTCATCTGCAAGAAAAGGGAAATTAAATCTTATCAGTTAAATATTCAGATATTTATATTGTAGTAAAGTACAAAATAATAGGCTGCATTTGCCACTCTTATCTACTGCACAGACTTTGCCTTATATGGTCAACAGGTCTGCTCAGAGATGACTCAAATGGCATCTGAATGCTTTGCTGTGGGTAAATATTTAATCAAATCTATTTTATCATCACAGAAACGAGTTGGAAGCGTGGACAAAAAGATTCAAATTTAATGTGATTTCTATTATGTTTTCAGTTATTTGCCGCACAGTATAACATTTATATTGATAAATTTTTGTGTGCGCGCATCTAAAACTGTATGGTACTCTGTACTGTATTTGGCAGTGGCTGTCCAACTGTGGCGCCGCGCGGCCTGCTTGGTAATGCAATGTGCTTTAGATAAAACAGAGCCCGCAACTAAAACATACGTCGAACCAACAACAATAATAGCAACAACAAGAGTATCTTTTTTTAAAGTTTATGCATTGATTTATAAATCTTTTGTTATTATAATTGCTATATCTTTGTTTACACAAAAAAAAACAAAAACAAAATAAAATTAGTTTTGATTTGGTATCTGGCTATAATTGATATATAAATTATACGTTGGCAGTTGCTGTTATTTTATGTACATAATTAATATTGTTTTGATTTAGCGTTTCGATTAAAATTCCATTTACGCGTGGGAGCTCGTTTCTCCCTGTGTATGAGTGTGTGGGCGGCCGCGACCTGTTTTGCAATTTGCGTTCTGAAATCAATATTCGCAATGTTACAATATAAGACGTTGCGATTTTATATGATTTTTTTTATTCGCTAACTATTAAACAACACGCCATAGCACGCAAAGAAAGCGCGTTAACTGTCTGCAGAGTTGCCAGCTTGGCAGAGCTTTTCGCTCTAATGTGTGCTTTTGTCCAGTGTAAGCTTCAAATTTTAACGTATATTGCCGCGACGGTCGTTTACAGCACTGGCGCACAGTGGCATAACCACTAAAACAGCTGTTAACAGTATGTTGGTATTTTTTTTATCGTTTTTTTCTTTCATTAGTTAAGCGTTGTGCGTTGGCCACACTGGCTGCTGGAGCTCTTCACAAGTTCTTAAAGAATGTATTAATTTATGCAAATTAACTGAAAAAAGTGCACAAAAGCGGCTTAAATTTAATTTAAGGCAGTTTTTAACGCCGTAGAACAACGAAATGGAACGCTCGGGCTACGCACAACGTGGCTGGCTTTGCTGCTGGCTGTGGCTCTGTATGGCGTCAGCAACATACGCTTTAGCCGACGTCATGACGGCCGCAACTGGAGGAGTGGGGGGAGCTGGCACAACAACAACGCAAAACGCGCTGCTCGCTGCTGGCAAACAGGAGCTGGCAGCGAACAGCAAACAATTGCCCGTTTGCTCACGCATGCTGCGCCATGTTTTTGAGAATGCGACGCCACGGGACGAGCAGCAGGCTGGCGTCTTCGAGGAATATAAACCAGAGGTGGGCCAGGTGCTGGACGAGGAAACGTATCTATGGAGCTGCCTGGAGGCGTGCTGCGAGAAATCACAAATCCAAAATCAGACCCAACGCAATACCTGCAACGTAGTCTTGGTCTTTAAGCGCAAATGCTATCACATTCATTGTATTAGCAATGAGGCGTGCATGCCCAAGTCTCTGTCGCGGGAGCGTGAAAATGATAAGGTGCAAATGGTATTGGTTAACCCGGTGGGTGATTTGCCGGAAACTTGGACACAATTACTAAAGGCCACCAAACAGAATGCCGAAATATTGCCCTACGAATCGGAGCTGAACTTCTGGAAACAGCCACGACGCTTGCAGTTTCAGGTGAGCCGCGCCAGATCCCACTTAAGCAAACATAACTAATCTCGAATCCATTACAGGACAGCAATGCCTACGATGAAGATGAGTTCCCCATGGCGGAGAAGCGCGTCAAGCAATTGCTGATGCAGCAACCCGATGAGAACGATGATGATCTCAGTTACTATGGCGCCGCAGAGTTGCCCAACAATGCCAAATTCATGACCTGCGACTTGGACACGCCGTGCCCGCCCCAGGAGCAGTGCGTGCCGTTGCAAGCGAATGCGGTCACAGGACTGTGCAACTGCAAGCATGGCTTCATGCGCAACAAGCAGCGCAAGTGCGTAATGCCCGCTGTGGCCTACAGCGCCTATCTGCCCAATGAGGCGTCTTCCCGAATCGCACTGGAAGCCGCAGCAGCAAGCGAGATTGTGCCGGAGGTTGTGGCGCCGCCGCCCATGAAACAAGAAATCAACAAGATCACGGTCTCAGTCATGTCCAAGGAGGTGCAACTGCCCGAGCAGGAGGTGACACTGGCCGCTTTCACGGTGCCCGATGAGGAGACCAGCGGCTCGAAGTACAAATATCTGTGGACACTTATATCACAGCCCAAGGGACCGATGAATGGCACCATTTCAGATCAGAGCAAGTCGAAGGTGAAGCTGTCGAATCTATCCGAGGGTCTGTACACATTCAAGGTGACCGTGACCGGCGACAGTGGAGCCTTTGGCGAGGCAGCTGCCAACGTGACTGTGCTGCCCGAACGGCGCATCAATCAGGCTCCGCAGGTAATCATCTCCCCGCCCGAACAAATCATACGTCAGCCCACATCCAATACGGTGCTCGATGGCAGCACCAGCACCGACGACGACAAAATCATCAACTGGCACTGGGAGGTCATCTCGGGACCCATTGGCTATCAGCCACAGTTGCCGGAGGTAAGCACACTGCAGCTAGATCTCACCTCGCCGGGCAACTATACCTTCAAGCTGACCGTGACGGATTCAAATAATGTCACCAACTCGACCACAGCCACCATAGCGGTGCTCAAGGAGACGGACTATGCGCCGGTGGCCAACGCAGGAGATGCTGTCATATTGTATTTGCCTAACAACAATGTAACTCTGAATGGCACCGCCAGCTCCGATGACCACGAAATCGTTGAATGGGAGTGGACAAAGGATGCCAGCGACGAGGCAAAGGCCGTAGACATGCAGAGGACCAGAACGCCCTATGTACAGCTGTCCAATCTAGAGGAGGGCATGTACACGTTCGTCCTTAAAGTCACCGATAGCAGCAAGCAGTCGAGCACCGCCAAGGTGCACGTCTTCGTCAAGCCGCCCACCAATTCACCGCCCACGGCCAACGCGGGCGCCAACGTGGTAAGCTGTAAATTAGCTTTATCTTGGAACTCTGTTGATGTCATTCTTTCTTACCACACAGACAACCAGCCTGCCCGTCAATTGGGCCACTTTAAATGGCTCCGAGTCGAAAGACGACATTGGCATCAAGAGCTATCAATGGAAGCAGCTAAGCGGACCCAACAATGCGGTCATACTCAAGTCAAATACCTCTGTAAGTGGTCGAACAAGTCAAATATAGAAAACTATATCTAATCTCTCTCTGATATCGAACTCTTGAATAGATTGCCAATGCGACCAGCCTAACGCTTGGGCTTTATGAGTTCGAGCTAAGCGTTGCGGATGAGAACAACAATACAGCTACTGCCAGCACCTGGGTGAAGATTGTGCAGGGTATTAGATGAACCTAAGAACCAATTGAAGCTTGGCTAATAACATTTTATCCATAGAACGCAATGCAGCGCCCATTGCCAATGCAGGCGGAGATCGCACCATTACTCTGCCCATCACGGCGATTTATTTGAATGGCTCGCAATCTTCAGATGATTTGGCTGTGGTTAAGTATGTGTGGACACGTGAGGACACGAGCCAAGCAGCTGGCGTTATCATTGACAACACGGACAAGCAGCCAGTTATGATTGTAAGAGCAAAACAGAGCTCAGCTCAAGCGATTCCAATTAATATACGAATTATACGGTTGCAGCTCACCAATGTGGTGCAAGGGCGCTACGTCTTCAAGCTTACAGTGAGCGATGAACAAGGCTTAACCAGCTCGGATACAGTCAGCATTAATGTCCATGCGGATCCCATGCTTATGTATCTGGTGCAAATGACGCTGCCCATGAGCTTATCCGTGCTTACTAAAAGCGAATTGGACTCCACTGTGCAGAAGTTGCAACTACTGCTGGGCGATGATAACAAGATACAAATCAGGGAACTGAAGCAGGATCTGCACACTGAGGCAGCGTTGCTGGTGTTCTTTGTATTGGCCAGCGACGCGAAGGGAGGACAATCAACGCCAGTAAACGGGCTGCATGTGGAGCGAGTGCTGCGTGCCAAGCTGCAAAAGGATGCCTCTATACTGGGCGCACTCTACGTGGACATACGCACCACAGTCTGTCAGAATAAATGCTCGGGACACGGCCGCTGCAATCCCTCGACGAGAGCATGTATTTGTGAGGCCTTCTGGATGCCCTCGGCAGGCTTCTTCGTTAGCAACGATGAGGCCAACTGCGGTAGCTAAGCAAGTGACTCTTTTACTTGACTCTCGACTAAGCCAGTCTTTGCTTTACAGATTGGTCCATTTTGTATGTGTTTGTGGGCGTGATCTCTGGCTGTCTGTTGCTGTCGGGCATCTTCTGGGGCATTGCCTGCGCCTGTCGCCAAACCAAAAAACCAAGAAGCATGCGCCAGAAGGTGCAAAAATATGCGCTAATAGGCACGCAGGACGAAGAGGCTGCCAATTGTAAGTAACACTAAACCAGACTGTATCCATCATAAATATAAACTGAGTCCAATTTACAGATTCGCGCAATACTTCGCTTACCGAATCGGAAACGGATTCGGATGTGCTCTTCGAGACACGCTCGAAGAGCAATGGCATTGGCAAGCGCAACAAAGCGCATCACAGCAGCTCTCAGGGCAGCGGTTCCGGCAGCCGAGAGGGCAACAAATATGCGGTTACCAAGCTGGGCCGCAAGATCAAAACCTAGACAAGACACTTTATATATGTATGTTTGTGTGTATGTGTGTTAGTTCATATAGATTGTGTGTGATATATACCTCCATATATATACATATATATATATATATATATATATGAATTTGTATTTCTATATAGTCCTATATACAAGCATTATGTACTTGGATATTTTTTACTGCTGACTTTTGTTTATATGTTCTATGAGTATTTTGTATATTTGTAATTATGCGTGTGTCTCGTTCCTTTTTACTTATGTGATATATGCACAACCTCTCGGTTAATAGCCTGTTTTTATTATTATTTAGTATTATTATTGCAATTAACAAATGCTTATTTGTATTTGATATATTTGTATATTTCGTTAATGTGTGTATATAGCGATAGGACTTCACAATCAATGTAATAAATTACATGTAATTGCTTTAAGCTGAGCGTTTGCATTTTTCTTTATTGGAAGGTGAAGCAGGGGAACTGTCAGTGCTTGTCAGACTGTAATCGCGCGCAGTTTGACAGCCATTCGTCCACGTCTTGTTGGCTTTGTAACGTTTATTTGAACGCATTTATGCAAATATTTGGAACAAGTGGAATTTTTGTTGTTGCCCGAAGTTCTATAAACACAAATATGCAAATATATACTATATACTACATACATAATATATACTTATATATAAATCTTTGAAATCCGCCTGTGATTCATTTTCTTAATTTTTTGTGTTTTTTATTTTGTTTTCTTTTTGGCCATGTCTGAGCATGGCTTAAGTGTTTGCGCTTTTTATTGATTTTAGCCGGATTTGAGCTGCTGACGGCGGGCGGTCGCAACGTCAGTCGGTTGCCTTTTTACAGTCCTCCTTGGCTTCTGATGGTGGCATGCCACGCGCGCTCCATATTTCACGGCTCCCAGTGTGTTGGGTGCGGCAGTTGAGTTCAGCTGCGACACGCGATTCGCTCATGACCCATGCCTACTTGGAGAGCAGCACCTGAAAGTTAATTAAGCTAACCTTCGTCCCTTGGCTTGGACGCACTTTGCATGCCAAACTAATGAAAAGTTTCTTGAACTTTCGCCCTCTCACACGTGACACAAATTCGCTGTCTTCTTTTTTTTGGTATTTTTATGCGCTTTTTATTGTTTGTTTTGACTGCCTGCCGTTGACTTAACTGTTCTTTATGCATGCATAAATTTCATTCAATTCGCTTTCCCAGAAATCGTTGAGATCTTCAGTCTTTCGACTAATTTGCTGACAGCTTACAAACCTTTCAAGAGTTATTAATTACTTGAATATAGCCGATTTCCATTCGTTGAGGGCTACTGGTATTTTCAGCGTTATTATTTCATTTGACAAATCAGCCAGAAAACAAAATTAATAACAAAATTCCGCTGTCGCTGCAAGCTGAGAATCATTTGCATAATTTAAACGAAGTGAGATCTCTATTAACAAAATGCCTGGAGAGGCTTTGGCATTGTTTTTCCCTTCCCAAATCCCATTGTGAATGCTTTCTAGCTTAAATTCATTTCGAATTCCTGGAAGCCAACAAAAAATGTCAAAAATTCAAGGTTTTGATTTCGATTTGCGCTTAGAATTTCATTAAAAAAAAGCTTTAAAATTATAATAATATGTTTATCAATTAACATAAAAAACGTGACACAAAACAAAAACCAGCCAAAGATTTTTATGTGGTTTTTATGCGATTTAAATGAAATTGTGAAGGGAGTTGCGGAGCGGGGCGGGGTGGGGCGAGGGCGGCTGCCCGCATTTTTGCAAAGCAGCAAATAAGATAAAAGATATAAATTAAACAAAAAAAAAACACAAAAATTCAAATTAAATTAACAAAAAAAATGGCACACGAGACGTCGCTTGAGTGATTTTTAATGTATGCGTGACAATTGTTGTTGTTGTTGTTCGGCCATAAAATGTTTTAATGTTTTATTTGCGTTTTATTATTGTTTAATTAGCCCTGCCAAGCACCACCCCCACCCTCGCCCTGCCACAGGCCCCCAACGCGCATGAGAGAGAGCATTGTCTGTTCGCCGTATGAGCCACGTTTATTGTTCTGGACGCCATTTCAGCAGCAAATGCAAAACGCGTGGGCAGAGCTCAAACTAAATGCAGCGCCCCAAGTTGGGGCTTAAACAGTGAGCGTGTGTGTGGGCAGCAGCGGCAGGTGACAGTAGCTGCCAAAAGTGGGCGTCAGTGCGCAAATATTGAGCAAACTTGCGAAATAGCTAATGTAAATACGTCGCAGGCTCATAAAAGCGAAGCTGCTTAAAGACTATAAATGGAAGTCATTAGCTGTATTGGCTAGAAGACAAGTTATAGATGAGACTAAGGGAGAGGTAGAGCTAAGGCTGCTGTTAGTAGTTGGAGCTAGCTGCAAAGGTAGCTAGAGTTAAAGGTAAAGCTGAAGCTGAAACAGAAGTTTGTACTAGAGGTAAAACAGAGACTGGAGCTGAAAGCTAGAGCAAGTGGAAGAAGCTGAACTAATGCTAAAACTAAGCTTTAGACTTACAGCTAAAGTTCGAGTAGTAGCACGTGCTAGACCTGATAGATTGAGGCAGAGCTGCAGTTACTGAAGGCAGCGCAAAGGGTAAGAGCTTAGCTGAAGCTTGAACTAAAGTGAGAACTGGAGCTAGTAGCTGCATTTGGAGGTAAAGCAAAGAGCTGGAGCTGGAGCTGGAGCTGAAGCCAAAGGTAGAACTGATGCTGAAACTAGATCCAGAGTTAAGGCAGAAGCTACTCGCTAAGGCTAGAACTGGAGCTAGAGCTTAGCTAAAGCTAAAGTTCGTATATAGAGCTAGAGATAAAGTTGAAGTCAGAGCTGCAGCTAGAGATATAGCTAGAGCTGAAACTACAACAAGAACTAGAACTGGAGCTGCTGCTGGAAGTAGAGCTAGGACTTCAGCTAGTAGCTTAAGATAACGTGAACTCAACTTAATATAATTTAAATTATTTAATTATTATTATTTACTAATTTTAATATATATTATTTTTTTTTTTTTTTACATTTTATAGCATTTATTTATATAATTCAACCAAAGATCACCTGACCTGACCTAAGTAAAGTATTTCCAGTGTGTGCTTAAACACGCTTTAATTTGTCATTAATAAACTGAGTGAATAGCATTTTAAGCGCGCCTAGACACATGCAACACCTGAAATGCAGTTACTATGACGAGCCATTTCCATTGGCATTTCCTCTCCAGCAAAGGGCCAATAACAACAACGACAACAACTGCAGCAACTGCTGCTAAAACAATTTTCAAATTCAATTTCAAATAACAGCTCGAGTTAATCATGAAAATCTGTTGTAAAAGAAACGAACATTGCGCATACGCCCCATTGAGTGCGTGTGTGTGTGAGATTGCGAAACAGTGATGGCAAATCGAATGTGCACAGGTTCAAGGTCAATGCCATTGTCGGCGCTGTGGCAAGCCAAGTGCAACAAGCAGCTGCAATCTAGCTATGTTGGCTACCTTTGCCAATTAGCAGCCACAACTGCCATCAAATTGTGTCTCATTAGCCGTAGATTAATTTTGAATGCATTCGCAATTAGACATTGCATTTAGCTAAGCCACACAGCGTGGGCGTGGGCATGGGCGTTTGCCAAAATTAACACTAAGATATATGCTGCCATAGTTTATGCTATAATATTGCGTGGCTAAAAGGGGTTGTAGAGGGTTGTTCAGCACAAGCAACCCCTAAGTCAAATGACGCAGTTATGGCATCTGACGGGGTCAACTGCAGATCTTACACACATGTGTGTGTGTGTGTGTGTGATAAGAGATAAACCATAATTAAACAAGGGCAAAAACAATGGCAGAGCAAACATTAAACAGTTGCCAGGCGTCTGTCTCTATTGTTAATGCGAACAACAACAGGCATAAAACCGGTTCAGCAATCAACTGAGACGTCAGCGTGTTTGGCAGCAAGCCAGCGGGTTCGGTTGCTGGTTCGGTTAGTACAAAAGATAAAAGTGCCAAATAGTATATAAATCTAATGACTCTCACATTCAATGTGTGTGTGCGTGTGTGTGCAATCAAAGCATAATCGAAGCAATCGAGCATGAAGCACAAACACAAAAAGTATCTGCGAGATACATTTGTGTTTTGCCACTGGCGCGGCATTTCCTATACACACACGCACACGCGCGCTAATCAGAGACAGCACAGCTCGATCTAATAGCAACAAGAACAAACGTCAGCGAATTTTTACTATAAACAACAACAAGCATTCGCTTTAATGCCTTTTCTTTATAGTTTTTACCATATTTTAATGTTTCGTTTCTTTTATTACCTTAGCTCATATATTATATCTGTTTATGTTAAGTTTTGTTTTTCCTACTGTATTCACATTTATCAAGAAAAAATCATTTTATAAACGACGCACAAATTTTCACACTTTCTTCGAAAACAAAAAGATCGCAGCGTTTAAAGCCGCACGGAAATCGCGTGCGTTTATTATGCGCGCGAGTTTTGTTTTATTTTTTTTTATTCTCTCACTCGATTTCTTAGCTTTTGCACGCGCGGAAGCAACGAACACAACTGAAACGAAAATTGAATGAAAAGCACAAATATCACACAGGGTGCGAGCGGATTCAAAGCGAAAGAGAGAGAGAGCGTGAGAGAGCGAAGCAGTCAGGCCAAACTTGTTTGTGCTAGGGCTTTGGTTTGCTGCCTACCTCAAAAACAACAATAAAACTAAAGGAAAAAATAACACAACAGACGGATAGAGCTGCGCAGCACTTTCGAACACTGCTGCTGGCGTTGCCAGCGTGCGTAGCGGCCAACAGGCCAGAGAGCTTTTCGAACTTGTTGCTCTTGTTATGGTGACGCTCTCACGCTCTCTGCCGCTCTCATACTAATAACTGCATTATGAAATGGTTGCGTTCCATTGGCGCCTTTAATTGTCGCCCCTCTCTTCCCCGGACGCTCACTATCTAGCTCAGTGCACTGAGCAGTGCTGCAGAGTGTAGACGTCAGTTTAACGCACATTTTTTTCGACTTTTTTCGTTTTCCGTTGCATTTTGAATGGGCGCTTTT